AAAGATCTATCCAGGGAAAATTATAATACCCTGAAAAAGACATTGAAGAGGATCTCAGAAAATGGAAAAACATTATTTGTTGATGGATAAGAACAACAAATATTGAGAAAATGGCCATTCTCCCAAAATTGACATACAGATTTAATGCAATCCCAACCAAAATACCACTAGCATACCTCAAAGATCTACAGAAATCATTCCTAAAATTCATCTGAAACTAGAAAAGATCTACTACAGGAAAGGCAAATCTGAGCAGCAAAGGCAAGGCAGGAGGCATCACAATCCCTGATTTGTAGTTATACTACAAAGCTACTATAATAAAATCAGCATGGTACTGGAATAAAAACAGAGCCGAACATCAATGGAATAGATTAGAAGACACAACCATAACTACCAACACACACAACCACCTTATCTTTGATAAAGGGGCCAAACATGTTCACTGGAAGGACAGTCCTTTAATAAATGGTGTTGGAAAAACTGGCTCTCCACATGCCAAAAACTAAAACTAGACCCATGCCTATCACCATGTACTAAATTAAAATCTAAATGGATCAAACATCTGAATATTAAAATATAAACACTAAATGTATTGGAATACAAATTGGGTAAAATTCTTGAAGACATAGGAGTAGGTAAAGAATTCACGAACAGGAATCAAACTGCATGGGAAATACTTCCCAGAATCAATAGCTGGTATGATGTCTGATTAAAAAGTTTCTGCATGTCAAAAGAAATCTCCAGCATAGTGAAAAGAAAACCCACAAATTGGGAAACAATCTTAGTGAACTGCCCCTCAGACAGAGGACTTCTGTCTAAAACATATAACGAATTAAAAAAAATCAGACCCCCCAAATTTAAAGACCCAATCCAAAAATGGGCATTTGAGATAAACACTTCTCAGATGAAGAAATACAAATGGCAAATAAATACATGAAAAATGTTCAGCATCATTGGTCATTAGAGAAATGCAAATTAAAACCACACTGAGATTCCATCTCACTCCTGAAAGAATGGCCAGGATCAAGAAAACCAACAACAACAAATGCTGGAGAGGCTGTGGGGAAAAAGAAACTCTCCTGCACTGTTGGTAGGGGTGTAGACTGGTGCAATCACTGTGGAGGACAGTCTAAAGGTTCCTCAAAAATCTGATATTGGAAGTCCCATTTGACTCAGCTATTCTACTTCTAGACATATTCCCAGAAGAATTGAAAACATCATACCACAGTGATATACGTGCACTCATGTTTATAGCAGCACAATTTGTAATAGGAAGCTCTTGAAAACAACGAAAATGCCCATCAACTGAGGAATGGATAAAAAAAGTTGTGGTATTTTTGTACAATGGAGTACTACTCAGCTATAAATAATGATCACATTGAGATATTTATAAGTAAGTTGACACAGCTTGAGACCACACCCAGGCCTTCTCTCTGAGCTACATTCTCCAGCCCTTGTCATTTTTTATTTTGAAACAGAGTCTCACTAAACTATCCAGGCTGGGCTCAAACTTGTGATCCTCCTATCTCAGCCTTCCAGAGAGCTGAGTTTACAGGCTCAATTCACAGTTTGGGTTTTTAAACCCAAACTGGCAATATGACTCATGCTTTCTGAAGACCAGCATTTTAAAATTAAATCTCATCCCACTATCTATTACAGTGTCCCAAGTGAACGTGGATATCTATGTTTCTAACGGAGGTCCTGCTGCACTACCTGAACCCCTACTCTCCACGCTGGCTTTCAGGGGACTCCTCCCTGTGCCTGAGTGCTAGCCACGCATTCTAGTGCTGCCGTAACTTCAGCTTTATTTTGCTAAACTGCTCAGGTTGGCTTTCAACTTGGGATCCTGCTGCCTCCCTCCTCCCCACAGCTGGGATACTAATGTGTGACACATCACCCAGCCAATACTTGCTCTTACAGAAGAAATGGGTTTTACTCTATAAAAATGAAGTCACCCAAGGCCAGACGTAAAAATTTGGTGACACAGTAGTCTCTGTAATAAGAGAAATGAAAAATACCCCGAACTAAATACACCTATTCTAATTATACTGAAAGGACACATTCTATGCAAACAGGAAGTTGGAAAACTGAAGGTATGATAAAAGAGGAAGCCGAGTGGCCACCTTTGTGAAAACCATCAAATCTGCAAATAAGCAATCTGACCTAGATAATGTTCATGATTTCTCCCACCTATAAAATGCTGCAATCCTCAACTTCTTAAACCCTGACTCTACCAAGCAATGAAGGTCCCTCTTATCTGTACCTGGCTCAGAGCCAGTCTGCACCAGCCTGTAAAGTGGGTCTCCCGAGGCCCAAATCCTCTGGATGTGTACGAGGGCATCCGCCAGCTCTGGTGGGCAGCCATAAAGCACAGTCCCTGAGTGCTGCTAGACGTGGTGCATCAGTATTCTGGGAAGATTTTTGCATCTATATTCACAGGTATATGGGTCTGCAGACATCTAGTGATACCACTGTCTTGGTTTGACCAATATTCTTTGCATGTGTTAGAATACCTGGATTTTAATGGACAAAGCTCAGCATGAGATGCGGCAAGTACATCTGAAGAGGTGGCAGACACTCAGCAAATCTCAGGGCTCTAATCAAGCACTTGCAGCACAGCCTGCTACATGCACAGCACCAGTGCAGATACTCTGCTGAACCTGTAAATAATGCCCAGCTTCCTTCCCTCCAGTTTCCAGGCTATGGAGGTGCTTGGCCTTCCCCACAGAGGCACTGTCACTTGCCCCGTATGGCACAGAGACTGACACAGGGTATGACTCAGCTGAAATCCAATGATGTGGCTGTGCTTAAGCCAACTCCTCTATTCAGACATTATCAACAAGTCTGAGTCTCCCCTGTACGCATCCTGTGGTATACACGTTTACATCAAAAAAAATAAAATGATGCCCACCAGAAGTGAGTAACTCTAGGACATGCATAAAAACTGTTCTAAGTATAACCTAAAAAATGAATAAGGAATCTAAAAGTCTATGTAAGAAACTCGTGCCTTGCTACTTTCGCATTACTAGAACTAGGTAAAAAACACAAGGGAGAAGAAGAAAAAACACTGACACACTCAACCTCCCCAAGAATTGGACACTCATGTTACTGGGTTAAGACCACCTGGAGTGGGCCTGAGGTGTCACCCTTCCATGAAATCACACTAAGCCTTACCAGGAATGAAGCTCTGTAGCATGCAACACTGATTTTAGAAACTCATTCAGTGGAACCTCTCCCACCCCAACACTCATGCGTGCCATTCTATGCATGCTTTTCATACGATGAAAGAGGAAAATAATTGTTCAAGGAAATTACACAGTAACATGAGCTGCTACAGGTTTGTGACAGCATAATAAATCCTTAGTGTTATCTTATGTGACAAGAACAGACCCCAATATACATCTATGCATCTCTTTATAGATGCAAATACACCACACAGACACACATTCATCCACAAACTATGCAAGATTACACAGAAAAAGAAGGAGAACAGGAACACATGTGGATATGCTGACAGCAAGGAGTAATATTCTAATTTTAATCTTTTCATGACATTTTAAATTTAAAAACAAAAGCACCAGAGAACTTAAATAACTGAGATGTTTTCTTCATCACACTCTGCTGATGTCTGCCTTAATCATCTTACTGATACGGATCTTTGTCACTATTATCCTATAATTCACTATCTAGAGAGAGGCATGGTTCAGGATAGAAGGCTAAGAGCCTGGGCTTGAGATGCACACCTGCCAGGATTTTCGTATGGGGCATCTCAGCCTGTTTGGCTGTTACCTCCCCAGAGGTGCCTTTTCACTATGATCCCATGGGGGAGGAAAGGCACTGGTTCCCTCCTGTCTCTTTCAGAAATGTACCCACTTTATTCACAAGAACAGAACCCCTGGGATGGAGCAACCTCCCAAGCATACCACCAAATGTTCTCATCTTTCTGCTCAGGTTTTCACATGCATTTAGACCACAGCAGGGGTTATCTGTTTACCTGTCTGATACTGTCCTATTACCTAGATTTTCCAGTCATGTTTTAGACAGCTACACAGTAGTCACAATATTAAAAAACAAAAATCACTAAATTTCAGTTACACAATGAATTAACTGCAACTTGCTGCTTATGTGTTCTGATTAACACTGTATCCACACAGGTTCACTAATTATAAAAAAGGTACCCTATGTGGGGCTGTTTATAGTGAAGGAGGCAGTACATATGCAGGGATGGAGGTGTATGTGAAACCTGGGTACTTTCTCTTTAATGTTACTATTAATCTGAACTCCATTTTAAAAAAGTCGAATACAATTTTTTTCTACAAAGTTACCAAATATTAAAGAGACGAAATTCATTTCTCCATCAACAAAAGACAACAATCTGTACAGATCTTTGACTTTTTAAATACTGCAATGTCCACGTAAGCACTACAACCACACTGCAATGTAGTATCAACATTTACAGAGATGAGAGGGAAAGTGGTACCTGCTGTTCCCTACACTCAGGCTCCAGACAGTCCTGCCACTTGCTGGGCACCACACGCTATTACAAGGCTTTCTCCTCAAGGGGACAGAGAAGGCAGCACAGTGTGGTCAAGTCCAGTCAAGACATTATAAGCAACCTTCACCTGCCACGCCATGAGGTTGCTCACTTTGTCCAAGCATGGGGTTTCAAAGTCATTTTGAATTATTAATAAAGTACTTCTAAAAATAATGCTCATTGTTTTATGGAAAAAAGTATACTCATATAAAATTTTTATCTCTCCATGTAATCCCAACATGAACTTTCCTGTGGTTCTGACAAACTTTTAAACTGGCCCACACAGATGCACTTGCCCTGAGTACAGGGATTAGCCCATAGGGCTAAAATGGTTGCATTTTTCACCTTCTGACTTCCTGCCAACTGTCAGCCTTAGGATTAGCTTCTGTATTATTCCTTCATCTTTAAGGAAACAGAACCTACTGCCCCGATTCTCAGACACTCACAATCTAAACACTAAACTGACCTGCAATGGTGTGTGCATACAGCCGGCTACCAAAAGTGAAGACATGTAGCTCGTACAGTTTGGCAATCTTCTCCAAGAAGTCCTTGCAGTGCGGACGCAGTCGGGTATGCAGCATCGGTTCACCCCGGCCCAGTTGGAAGTGAAAGATGCCCTGTAAAGAACGGCAATGACAGTGAGAAGAGAAGGCCCTAGGGAGCATGGCCCAGGAAGCACCTGAGACCTGTTAAGTCCACAGCAGAAGTCCAGAGATGCACATGGAGGAACCCTAATAAGAAGCCAGCCTATGGTACCTACTACCTGCTACAACTACGTATAGTAACTATACCTGATAAATGTAGTAACTGCCCATGTAACTACTCAACATACGTACAACTACCCTGAGAGCTGTGACAACTACATCTAGTAAATACTTATGCTAACTACTCATGGTAACAACCATCTGCAATAAATGCTCATGTTAACTATCCATGGTAATCATAAGCACCTACCATAACTACTTATAGCTACCCTTCTTAACTAAAGTAGCTACTCACAATAATTATAACTGCCTGCAACACCCCTTAAAACTATAATAACTATGTTATTAAATACCTGTCAAGGAGTACACCAGATGGCTTGAAGTAAGATTCCTTTATAATGCGTTAATGGTGATTCTTGAGCTGCTGATGAGGGTAGACCATACTCTGATGTTAAGACAGTTTTACAAGCTTACAAATACAACACATAAACAAATACTATTCTAGATTATTTCTTGTAGGCAGATGAAATTAGTAATACTAACAAGCTCACATGATTAATATGCAAACAAGTCTACTTTTTTTAGTTAAACTTTGATTCACTGAATCCTGGTTATCATCATCTCAGCAAAAATTTACTTTTTACAACTTAAAAAGGTAAACTACCTAGGCCCAAGTACATTTTTACTAGATCTAACTAATCGCACCACTAGTAGTGAAGCTATTTGGTGAAAGATTAAGGACTATAAAATTTAAGTAACAGCTCTCACTCTTGACAGCAAAAAGTCTAGTAATAATAATAATAATAATAATAATAATAATAATAATGTAAACCTCAACAATACAAGCACAGGTCTTCAGGATAAATTAAATGTCTTCACCATGTGGCCAGCAGGTGTCCCAGCTTCCCTGAGCATTCACTGAGCACCCTGAACCTTGCACTCTGCTCAGTGGGGCAGCACAAGCCATGTGCACAGAAGGAAAGTGGAGAGCACTTTGGAAACTACTGGTATTAGTGGGGGACTGCGGATGCCTAAACCACTCCATGTAGACAGAAGAATGTTACTTTCTGGAACCACCCCTACCCCTCCCTGGCATGAGAATTAGTTCAAACTGCCTGTAAGATTAACTTAAAATGCTAAACTTCAAAGTTACAACATAAAAGATACCTAGGCAACACATGCTGGCATACACATAGAGAAAGTGTATGTGCTCTTCAGAACGATTAGTACAGAGTAGTTGCTATGGATGAAATAGATGAAAATATTTATTAACTACTTACATTTCACAAAATATAGTTTATTTCTGGGCAAATCTCATAATAAATAAAGTAACTAAAAATATAAGTTGCACTGTGGAGACAGAATTCTAGCCATAAACTCAAGCTCAACCTCCACTGAAAATTAAAGATTACCTGGCTTACTAAGCCCTTGTTTTTTCCAAACCTATATTACTATAGTGGTGAAGGACCCTAGCTCTGTGATGGACCCTCCCCCAGAGCTATGTGGTCCACCTTCCAGTACGCTCCTGACTCTACAACTGGCCATAACAAGACTCAGTCCTCTTCTGTCATAGAACAGTATTAATACTTTATATTCTGAAAATCTGAGACCTAAAATAAGAGCCTCTTATGTTATCTCTTTAACAGCTAATGTTTTTTAAATGTGGTAACTCACTGCTGACAAGGCCCTTGTCAGTGATGGCATACACAATACAGGACTGCAGGTGAGCTGTTTGTGTAACAGGAATTAAACTCCTGCTTCTGAAGCTCAACTTCTTGGCTCTATCCCTAAAAAGCAACTGGACTATGGGAAAGTTCTAGGTGCACCCAAACAGGGTTCCACCTTTGGCCCCCTTCTATCACATTTTCCTAGATAATCGCTACCCAGAGACTCCCACTTTCATCTCTAGCCCAGGTTCTCTTGAACAGAAGCCAAGTATCTGGACCCAGACATCCAGAGACACAACACAGAAAACCAATGCATCTTCCCAAGACTGCTCCTCCAGTGACACTCCTGACACACCCACTCCCTGCCCTCACTGATCTCCAAATCTTTAATTTCCTGCTGTCACCAGCCAGTGGGACTGGCACACAAAACCTGGCCATGTCACTATAACATGGCAAATGCTAACAGTGGCAGCACATTTATGCTGTCACCTGGAGTGGCCCCGATGCAGTGCTCTCTGTCCTGAGGTCGTAAGTATGACTGACAAGTCTGTTCCCCCAAACACAAGCAGACCAATGAGAACCAGTTTTAAAAACAAGATAATGCACTTTCAAACTGAATGATGGAAATGTGGGGCATCTGGGAGAGCCATCCTGGGTAAAGCTGGCACAACTCACTTTGTTTGACATCTGTGGACAGTGCTGCTCTGTCGTGTGGATTAGGGTCTGGTCCAAGTCAACCATGAGGACTAGTTTTCTGTTTCGATGTAGACGTTGCTGATCTTCCCTTCCCAGTTTTTCAGCTTGCTAGAGTTAAAAAGGAAAAAATAAAAACAACAAAGTACATACATCTGGATCCAAAATAAAACGCAATGTCACTAAGAGAACAGGACACAGACATGTTCCTAACCAGGTCCTCATATTCTCAGAGTCTCATGTGGCTGACAACACATTACCTGAAGTCCACAGCTGACCATAACTGGGTCTCTCTCTGTTGACCAATGGCCAGTTCTGTCTGTCTATACCTGTATTGTAATTACTGCCTGAATAAACCTGAGCTTCAAAATTAACAAAGAAAACAAGCCCAGCAGAGAGGAGAGCGGACAGCCATAAACCAACTGCTGGGGGAGCAGAGGCCAGCAACAATCCCTGTCATTTTACCGTGAAGAGCTCAGGAGAGTTTCAGACAGTGCAGCAGGTCATTTACACTTGAAGCCTGGGGCAGGGCTCTCCTCAGAGCAAGGGTCGTGGTCTGACAGAACTCATTAAAGAAAATAAACCAGGGTGAATATCATGTTTCTCAATTTAATCGGCATTTAGTTATTCACACACAAATTCCTGGTCTGGATTAGGTCAGACACAAGAACTTCTGCCATATTCCTAAAAGGAAGTGTACAAAAAGGCTATTAGCTCTGCCATGGTAGGAGAAATGGAGGATACTCTTTTCTTTTTAATGTAAACTTCCTGGTTTTGATTATATATACACTTATCTATATTTGTTAAAAGTAATTCAGAAAAATCAGAAGTATGTATCTGGGTTTTGCCTTTCCTACAAAAAATAAGATCAGTTAGTATAGACTGATCTATACTAACACTGAAAAATGTTTTCCTACTTACAAAAATACAGCTCTGAAGGTTACAGAATTGTTACAGAACCTGGTCTCTAGGTGGTGGGCATACCACACACTTGTCATAGCACACAAACCCCAAGCTACAGAAATGTGAGCTGGCAGGGTGACTTTTAAAAAAATAAAAATAAAAATAAAAAAACCAAACCTCAAACCCCTCCAACCCACTAGGTACTTGAGATAGCACTCAAGTTCTACTTTCTAGATGGCGCTCCATCTACCAACTCTGTTCACAGGACCAGCAGCACTGCAAATGTTACCTGGGATCCTGTGTCCACTAGCTGTCCACAGCAGCTTGAGCCACAGCTTGCCCAGCACCAGTAACAGTGCACACAGCTGGGCAGCCACAGAGTACCATCCCTCACTCCTCACTGGTTCCCACCGTCTCTGTTCTGTCCTGCACACATCCTCAGTACACCAGCGCCTCCAAAGCATGCTGTGTCCAAATGCCTGTCACATTCCCTCCAGGTAGAATCTGGCTCAAGGAAACCCAGGCTTAGCTCATGGGTATTACAGCACCAGGAAGGCTTTTTCCACTTGAGTGGGGCAGCTGCACAGCCTTTAGAAGTGCTCATGTAGGCAGACTCATTTGTGAAGGAACAGGAAGAACAGAACCACACAGAACCACACAGCCTTCCACTTCTCAGGACAGCAACACCATGCATCCACTTGAAGCCAGGATGCTTCGGAAACTACTACTGTAAATGGATGTCCCAGTTCCCTATACAATCCAGTGCCCCAGTGCCTACTCACCTCAGAGCTCACCATTAACTCGGGCACACTGTGGACCATGGACACAGTCGCTGTGGACAGTGGCATATGCTGCTTCCCATTCTTATTCTGCAGCCTTTGAATGCAAGAAGATGAGCTGAAAAATGATCTGCACTTGATGAACTGTACACAGAAGGCACATGTAACCATGAGCGACAGGGCTTCAACCTGCACTACAGTTGGCACATACTGCTAGGTTAGCACAGTATGCTCCTCAGGCAGCTATGGGATTGTCTTTCACAGTCAGAAGACAGGAAAATATGAAAAACTGATCTCACAGACACTCTCACAGTCAAGAGGCATAGAAGTCACAGCCACAGCCACTGTCAGATTTCAGGCACTCTCAGTCTAACTCTCAGTTAAAATTCTCCGTAGAAATAAACTGCAAAGTCACATGGAAACAAACGCCCCCCCCCCCCCCCATGCACACACACTCCAGAGACAATCACTCACACTGCTAGAAACTGCTCGGTGCCAATGGTCAGCTGGCCTAGGCCATGGGAGCCTGGGAGAGGACGACTGGGTGGTGAGGCACACCAGCTCCTGAAGAGGTCCTCTAGGGGCCACTGTGGCTTCCCCCTCAAGGGTAAGAACAAACCACAACCACCCTCTGGCATTGTCCTGATATGCTTGAAAAGAGCACTCCACAGAAGGCGAGGCTCCAGAGCTGGAAGAATAAAAGCAGAAAGGACTACTCCTTGGGAAACTAGTCTGATGTGAGTGCAGGGAAGGTGTCTGCCCTTCAAGACAGAGCTACAGGGCCTGCACAGAGCCCCCCACCTGCTTCCCTCGCCTGCCCACACTACGCCACGAGGGTGCTGGGCCCTGACCCCCACAGGCACTCACTGGGTTAAATCTTGGCCACATTCAGCACAAAGGCCCTTCATGACCACTGGGTGGCTACATCCTTCCAGTCTCACCAGAAGTGCTCTGCAAAACACAAGAAGCAAGTCCAGTGAGCGGCAGGAACCGACAGTCTCAGGAACACCACACAGCGTGAAAAGGGCAGGTGAGTGAGGGGGAAGCCTGGAGTCTTCGCGGGGCCCCCGCTGTCGCACAGCCCTGCTCCCTCAGCCTGCCTGCAGGCTGGGTAAGGACCGCTTACCTGTAAGAACACATAAGACAACTTTCTGTTGCATACCGAAGTCCTAAAAAAACTAAGGCTGTCTAAAATACAACAGATATGTGTATGTTTCTTTGGTACTACTTTGGACAAAGAGTTTATAAAAATTAAAACTTTGTTCATTAATATAGCATGGGCAAACTGGTATAATTCCAAAAATAATAAATTGTTGTTTCCTCTCATAGATGATCCCCAGTAAAGACAGATTCGTATTTATCTAAGTTTTTTGATAGTTATTCTGGGTTTTTTTTGGTACCAGGGATTGAACTCACGACCTTGTGCTTGTCAGGCAGGTGCTTATACTGCCGGCCCTATCCTTTTTTATAGTTATTCAGCATTATTTTACTTTTAAATGACTTTAAAAGTTTTTATTAGTACATGTCTGCAGCACATGTTGGCATTCTTTGTGTAGAGTCAGTACATGAACACTGGTTTTCATCTGGAGCACCAGGTAGTCAGTGACTTCCACAGCCTTGACCCTGGTGGTCTAGCAAAGATCCCATGACACTGCGCCTCTCAATAAGAGGTTAAAGCAATGTTTCCACAGCCACAGTTGCCTTCCAAAAACCAGTGTGTCCCTGCCCTGCTCTGGCTATTCAAGAGCGCTCTGCTTTTCACATTTAGTGCCCCTCCCTCAGCCAAGGGGAGCTTTACCTGGTTCACTTCTGGCCAGAGAAGTCTGCTGGGACCAATACATACCTAGCCTCTAGCACACCGTTGGCCTGACAACAGGAAAACGTAAGTAATAGGGCACCTCAAAATAAGACAGGAAGAGAAGAAGACAAAAGTCAGACCACAGTGAGACTTTGTAAGAACAACTGTGGCACTCCCTCTCTGCCACACAACCAGAACTAAAAGACCAAGGGTCCAGAAGCACAGCTCCCACGTCCAGCCTCTCTGTAAGGACACGTATTGGGCTGGGGGAAGCTTGAGCTGCAGCAGCGGGACATATGGCCATGTCTGCAGCACGGCCGAGAGCAGAAGGACCCATTTTCCTGCATGGGAAGACAATCGGTGTGTGAGGACCACTTGGGCAGGGAAGGTGGGACTGCCAGGCTGAGGGAAGGTTAAAGACCTTGCTAAGACAGTGCAAGGTTGTCGGGGATGGAAGAGGAGGGGCTTGAGTCACACTCTAAAAACTGAATTCCAACTATGTCCTCTGGTCAGTGGTTTTCACTCTAGCTCTGCCCCATGTAGCGCTGCACCCCTGCTGCTGTTGTCACCCTGGGATCCACAGCACTCACATCCCCGAGTGCTTGTGGGAGGGAAATGGTGCCATGCTTCCAGACACCTCACAACGAGCCACCACATCAGCCACTCAGAGGATGCTCAGCCCTTGGCCGAGAGACTGGCAGCCCAGGACTGGTGGGAAGGAGCAAAAAGGTCGTTGAAGATCATTCTGTAAATACAATTCTCATGAACATGAAAACACATTTATTATTATTTTCTTCTATTTGTTCTTGCTTTTACTCTGTCTTTTATTTTTAATTTCTCAGGAAAGATATGAGGATATTTCATAACTTTCTTCTTTTCTAATAAATGTACTTGGTGTTTAAAAAAAACACATTTACAGGCTAACAGAACCAAAACTTTTATGTATCAAATTGTTTAAAACTAGACAAAAAGGTAATGATATTTTGTTTGGGAAATGTGTTAAGACTTTTTAAGGTGATGAGAACACTTTCTTTAAAACATTAAAGAAATTAAAGCTAAAATTATTAACAGTTCTGCAATTCATCGGCCCAAATGATCAGACTTAACAGAAAGTAAGACTCGAACAGAGGGTCAAAACTACATTTTGAATAGAATGAAGGCACATTGTAGAAATAAAACACAGAAATCAGTTAAGGGCACCTGAAGCCACTGTTCTGAAAACACAGCGCTATCTAAGGACACTGGCCACAGTAACTCCAACTGCAGAGGTGGTCATCAGCCTCCAGGAACGGCTCTAAATCCCATCACCTCCAACCTCACCTCCAGGGTCAGTGCTAACTGGATATGAAAAGGGAATTACAGAACTCAAGATGAAAAACCTTGGGACACTGGAGTGAGGGAAACGATGCTCCTTGATGAAGTCTGTCTGTGAAAAGCCAGGGCCAGACACCAAGACGAAGGCCTGGAAGCTCCCCAAAATGAACGATGAGGCTCTTAACATCCCTGTTCCTCTAGAGGCCATCCAAGGAGATGGAGGAAGACACAGGAATGTCCTGCAGTGCAGTGGACTATACTGTCCCTCAGGAAGCCCAAAGAGCCCACAAAACCGAACTGAAAAGCTCAGGAGGAAGCAAATACAAAATTAAAACACTATATTAGTAACATTCTGTTGTAGTCCGGGGTTGCAAGGAGAACAATTACATATAGTATACAGAATTTATATTATTGTATAATGGTCACCCAGAGTTAAATACAAGAAAGAGCAGGAAACCTGTCCACAACACTAAAGACCCAGTAAAGGCCTGGATCCCATAGTAGTGTCCTGCATGAGTCCAACTGAAGACCTAGAGCCCATGACCATGCGTCCCATGAGTGCAACTGGAGGCCTAGGGCCCACAATAATGACTCATGCAAGTCTGTTTTATAAATCTACACTGGGAAGGCTGAACAGTCAGTGATGGAAGCTAGAAAGTCTATGCCAGCGAGATGAAGGAGCTGTGCCAGCAGGCTGAGGATTCTACACTGGAGCCGAGAAGCAACACTCAAAATAAGGACCAGAGCTCCCCTGAAAAGTACCACAGCCATCCTCAGTGACAATGAGGTTCTGAGCTCCGATGAAGAGAACAGTTGAGTATGTGTCAGTAAGCCAGTGCGAACAAGCTTCTCCTGGAGAGTAAACACATCTTCCTCTCTGGAGCCAGGAAGCGATGTTCAACATAAGGACCAGAGCACCCCAAAGTGAACAGCAGCCATTCTCAGCAACAAAGTCCCGAGCTCCTGCAATGAGAATGGCCCAGTTCATACCAGGGAAGCTAGCCATGTAGGCTCCTGCAGGAGAGCCAAAGGCTCCAAAAAACACCACCACTTAGGAGAACCCACAATGCCACACTCTTCCTCTCCACATCTCCTTTCATGCTGGTAACTTTCCTCAGGTGGGCCATCTACACTCAGCACCACGCTGATTTAATTCAGTTTTTAATACGTAACACCTTCCTATATTTCTGTAGAATCCAAAATTTAAACACACCATGTATTGTTATAAAACACACAACACAGAGAACTTATACAGAATATCAAAAACACTGATCCAAGAAATCAAAGGTCTAAGAGAAGTAATACTGTGTTCACGGATTAGAAGACGCAATACAGTGAGACACGAGTTCTCTGAACACGATTACAAATTTAACCCAATTTCTATAAAAGTCCCCAGAAGACTTCTGCAGGCGCAGACAAGCTCATTCTAAAGCTGATGACAGAGGCACTGTTCCTTAAAAAGATGAAACCATCTTGAAAATGTGCAGAACAATAGGAATCACTACCTTTTCAGACTAGAAAGCTCGAAAGGGATTGAGGTGCGAGTGAATACAGCTTCAACTTGGATCATATATCCTTAGGATGCCTGAGTGAACCCTACAAGGTAAGGAACAGTCTTCCGCATGTGAATGGCTCGACACATTCCTCTACCTTTCACAGTCACGTTTCCCCAGAGCTACAGACTTTCAGAAGGAACCCTGGCTCTGGGGCTGCACTGCCTATCCAGGCTGCCTTCTTCTCACCAAGTAGAGAAGGGGCCCAACCCACCTATACATGCACAATTCTTAAAACCTACACACCATTTCTAGGCAGACATACTCGAAAGCCCATCTGGTCAAAAGGCCTTTATTTAAAGATTAGTAAAGATTAGATCAGAGATATCTATAAATCTGTGACACAGGTAAATCATGTAAGCACACAAAACTAAGGAAGCAGAAAGTGATGGTTTTGTGTTAAGTAAACACTAAGAAAAACAAAGCAAAACTTCAGCTGAATTACAGATTAAATTTAATGAATTCAAATAAAAACTGACAATTTCTCTTCAGAAATAACTGAGTAATCTTTTAAATAGTACAAATGTCAACAGGGAAGGATGATTTATTTAACTAAACAATCTATTAATTCATAAAGACTATCAATATCAGGATGAAAGAGGTACTTTCTTATTTACAAAGCAAAACTTCTGAAGATGATTACTTTAGTGCACTGACTGAAATGTGTTTAGAATTTAAATCTTTCTCCTCACCTAGTGGGGAGTTAATTTTAGGTTACAATCTAAGTTACTTTAATTCTAAACTACATAAAGTAATAAAGACAGTAATGCTGAAATTATCTTGCAAGTATCTGGAAGTATCTTTGGAATTATCTTGGCTTTCTTCAGTGACTCCTTTCTTTTTAGTGACACCCCAAATGTGAGCTGAAGCAGGCACTCCTGGTGCAGCAACAAGGCCAGATGTCAAACAAAATGACTATTACCTCGCCCTCTGATAGTTCTTACCATTTATCTCATACGCCCATTATTTGACGTATTCCCCCCCTCTTTGTGGACTGTAGTCTCTCTCCATGGATGACACCAGAGCAATGATCATGATGAAGCCTGGTGAAGGTGATGCAGGAAGATCTGTAGAGACTAAGGCCTCACTCAACAGAACCAGTAAGTTCCAGACTTAAGTCTCAGATACCAAATTGTCAGAATCTTTTCAACCAAAATAATTTTTTCATTTTAAAGATAAAACACAATAAAAACGGTAATTTTGTAACAAGATAATAGGAAATTAACAATGGTCAAATATATTGTGTATTGTTATCTTCCAAGTAGCTGTTCAGATTACAAGATATA